CAGAGATCTTGGCTCTGAAGCTCAGTGAGTGACTTTCCCTGTCCCTCTGCCTGCCTTCTTGTGACGATCCAATGGAGAGTGGAGAGGATCGTGTACACTGCCTTGGCTCCTTGCAAGAAGAAACAAAGTGGGATAGGATTTAATAATAGATATGAAGAATTAGATGGTGCACTCTCTCTCATCCTCTCTGGCCTTCTGCCTCTGCTTCCATCCCTCAAGTTAATCTACCATTAAACACACAGCGAGATATTAGTATTTTCTTCCAAATGGGGACACTATCATCATTTATTAGCATCATTTAATCATAGCTTTGACTTTGAAGCCAATCATGCCCTTTTGTCTAGGTTGCACCTGGGCAAGTACCCCAACACCCAGCCCTCATTGCTACAGATGTTTTTTCCCCTGCGGAGAACATTTAGCCCTCATTAATTGCTGGCAGCCAAAGAAAAGAGAATGTAAAAATCTTCAGTGTGCTGGATACTTTAGCATATATGCCAATTTTAAAAGTTTGTATAAATAACTAACATTTGCAGCCTAACCACAAGATTTGAGTTTTCTGCAAAATGGCTGATTATCCTTTGAAAACTGTAGCTGGATAATGCAGGGCAGGGGGCAGGCGCCAGGTAGGCCAGAACATCTGGAAGGCCACAATCCCCATCTGCCCTAGCCTGCACCCTAGTCAGTAAATGGCAAGAGATGATGGAAGTTATAGGCCAAATGTATTTCAGAAGGCCACAAATTGCCTACCCATATGTAGTGGGAAGGGCACCACACTTCAGTTACAAATACGACGCCTTGCCCAGCTAGGGCATTTTGCTACAGGAGTTTTTTTGCAGCTGTTGTGTGAATACAATATCTACTAACAGAATTAGGGCAGCCCCATGAGAACTTTTCTCACCCTCCATTACCTGTTCCTGCATCTTTCAACTCTGAGCACACTTCTGAGGTCTGGGATGATTTCTCCGAAGCTGTGTCATTCTGGTATTCTTTGTTGTGGTAGTCTTCATTTTGGTAGTCTTCATCCATGGCTGGATGAGGCTGCCTCAACAAGAGTTCTTGTAATTGAGGCAACCCAGCAAACAGATGCTTTAGCTCTCTATCATTATCAGCTTCCTTTCTATCTGAGAAGCCACAGAAGAGCTAGGCCAGCACTACCCATAAAGCCTTGCAGCTTGTGGGCAGTGAGGGGGATCTTGTCTACTAGGCAAGTACCCCTCCCTTGATACACCATTAGAAGGACATGCTGTAAGTGCTAATCGGTTAGTTTCAAAGCAGGCAGACAAAAGCAGATGTAAACATAGTCATTGGGGATTTTATGACCTGACCAGCATTTTCTCCTGTTTTGAGCCTATCCCCTGGTTGTGTAATTCAGGAACCTCAAGGGAGAAGTTTTTAAAACCAGGCAAGTGGCTTCTCATGTGAAGAATTATTTTTCCCTGTCCAGCCATCACGCCCTGCCTCTTTCCATGGCCAGATGCACGGCATTCTTCTTTTAGAACCGGGGCCTCCAACATGACAGCCAAGGGGCCCCTGTGTATCTTCCAGGCTTCCTCCCCCGCACCTTCCTGATTTCGCATTTAAGATTTTTTTAAATGAATTTGATTAGGTGGCTGTTATGCTGCAAAGCAAAGTGCTGCCGTGCAGTATCGCCTTTGAGTTCAAAAGAGAGGTTTTGTGTTTTTGAAGCTTTGACTGCATCTTTGCATATACTTAAAGGTTCTTAGGCAAGTGACTTTCAGTGCTACTAGTTGCCTACTGGGAAAAGACTGTTCTGCCAGTGGGAAAGGAGTATTTTGTGATCAGCGATTCCCACAGTGACAGCTGGGATCTGAATGGCACGATGACCTCACAACTTTCCAAATGTACCCACCAACCCAAAGAGGATGGAGAACCCCATCCTGGAATATTTTGTACTACAGCCAGTTCTGTCAGTATGGTTGATGTTACTGTTAAGACACACCTCTTGCACTTTCCAGACTGAGATGCTTTTCCACAAGCACAACCATCCCCAATGTATTGCATTAGTAAGTTTTATCCCAGAGCTATGGCAGCATTGCAAATCATTCAGCATTAAAACATCACTCTGTGACTCAGTAAGCAGTAAAACACACACTGCTTGCTGCTGGCTCAGAATGACCTATTTAGAGCAAATGCTACGAGGTACCATCAGTAATTCCTAAAATGGGTGCTGTGCCACTGGAATCTTTTTGCTCCACCCACTGAAGGCACACATGTCTGTCACCATTTTCATTCAGGTGTGCATTGTATTTCTTCTTTTCAAGACACAGGCAAGGCACAGCTCCAGGACTCACTCAGCATATGTGTACCCAGTTCATGCTCAGACACAATATACATGAGCTCTGCACAAGCACATCCTGCATGGCTTTGCAGCACATCCCTGCCTCTCTCGTTGAGGTTGATGAATGGTGCTGTTGCTGTGATATCTGAGATGTGTGGATGGGATCCACAATGATGTACTTACAATATTCAGAAAGCCAGATTGTTGCTGTTCCAAGTTCTGTTTGGTATTTTTGTTGCCTTACAACAAAAGGCTTTCAGAGTAGCTCACAATAAAACAGATTTCAGAAAATTAATACAGTTCTTTAAAATCAAAGTAAGGATGTTACCTGAGAGAAACACCTTACCTGCTTCTGAAAAGATAACAGTGTGGACCCCAAGCAAGCCTCCTCTGAGGTGGCATTTGATGAACAGGCTGCCCTAACCCAGAAGGTCTTGTAGCCAACCATCTCACTTCCTTTGGTGGAGGCACCTGCAGAGGCCCTCCAAAGCAAGCTGAGAATCTGGCCTGGTGCATATCAGAGGTGCTCCATTGCACCAGGGGTGTCAAATGTCCATGTCCAGCCCACCTGTGGTCCCAATAAGGTCATGCCATCTCTCTGTCACCAAGAGAGTCCTGCATTTCTCCTGGCCACCAAGAGTGTTGTGGTATCTCAGATTTTGTCCAACATCTTCCCTATACAGAATGGTTGAAAATCCTTTCCTAAAGCATCTTTACTGGTAAGAAGCGTTGTAAACTAAAGCATGCTGGTAATTTGACCCAGCTCTTTTTCATTTTCAAGACACTCCATTGATTACATATTTATATTGCCCAATAGCCAAAGATTTCTGGCTAACTTACAAGGGTTAGAACCCTTTAAAATATTGCATTGTCTATAACATAAAAGCAGTTAAGCTATAAATTTATAAACAGACACAAATCCAAATGATACCCTATATCCTGATTAGAATCTATGATATGGTACTAAATGGCTGGAAGAAGGAGGCCTTGACCTGGGGCCAAAGAGGATACTGAAGCCAGGCTGGCTTCACTGGGGCATTTATTCCATAATTAAGAGACTGCCATCAAGAAGGCTCTCATCTTTCTTGTCACCTTCCAAGACCCCTTGCAAGGCCTTAGAGGATGAGTGTAGAGTACAGGTAGGCTCATGCCAGCACAAGTACTATAGTCCCAAGCCATGTAAGGATTTATAGCTCAAAACCACCATTCTGAATTGTGCTGGGAAATAAACACAATTGAATCAGAATCAAGTGTTCCCACTTTTTTTATCCCTGTTATCAGTCTGACTACTGCATTTTGCACAGGCTGCAGCTTCTGAACCATCTTCAAGGGCAGCTCTGCATACAGCACATTGCAATAGTCTAATCTGGGAGTTATCAATGCATAAACAACTGAAGCTAGGTTAACCCTGTCCAGGTAAGGGCATAGTTGGGCCACCAAATCAAACTTGTAGAAGGCACTCTGTGCCACTTAGGCCATTTGAGTTTCAAGTGATAAAGATGGCTCCTGGAGAACTTTCCAAAACCGCTCCTTCGGGGGACATGCAACCCATCCAGAACAAGTTGAACACCCTCTATCCAGTCAGAAGAACCATCCACTATCAGCATGTTGGTTCCATTTGGACAGAGCTTTGGTTTATTAGCTTTCATCCAGTCCACTGTTGTAGCAAAGAACTGATCTAACACATACACAACAGAAAGCACTGTGTATCATCAACATACTGAGGACAACACACTCCAAAAAACCAGATGACTCCACCCAGCAGCTTCATGTAGATGTTAAATAGCACAGGGGACAAAATCAATGCTGTACTAAAGAATACACAGGGCCAAGCAGTACTCTCCAAGGACCACCTTCTGGAGCCAGCCATGCAAGTAGAAGAAAGTACAGTAGTACAGAGCAGCCTGCTCTTAATTCAATCACCCCAGAATGATGGTATGGTTGATGGTATCAACAGGCACTGACAGACCATGGAGAATCAACAAGGCCACATTCCCATTGTTTCTCCCCCAACATAGGCTATCATACACAGTGACCAAGGCTGTTTCTGTGCCAAAATTCAGCTTGAACCCCAGCTAGAATGGATCCAGATAACTGGTCTCAGGGAAGAGCATTGAGGGCTGCTGGCCACAATCTCCTCAAGGATCCTGTGCAGGACTAGAGCCTGAATTTATTAAGCTTTTCCAGAGACAAGGAAGGTTTATTCAGGAGTGCTCTCACTCCCTCACAAGGAGCCATTGCCCTCCCTGGCACAGCCAAGTGTTCCTTCCCTGCCAGTTTTTGTAAGACAAGGGGGCAAAGATCCAATCCTAAAGTTTCCTCTGGTTCCACTCATCACTGAAATTTGGCCCCTGAATTCTTTTGAACTGAATTTGGGCATTACTCTGAAAGAAGTGTCATATCCCTGCTAGCCACAATTTAGAGCTTTAATAGTTTAACCAACATTTTGAATAGAGCCCAGAAATGAAAAGGAAGTCAGTGCAGTTAACAAAGCATTTGTGTCATATAATCATACCAGCCAGTCGGAATTTCTAGCCTAGCGGCTCTATTTTAGACTAAATGAACCGAAACCATTTTCCAAAGGTAGCCCCATGTACAATGGATTGCAGTAATCCAAACTGGAGGTCACCAGAGTATTTATAACTGTCACCAGGCTATTGCCTTGATCTTACAGAGACACATTCATGGAAAAGAAAACCACTGCACTTAGGAAGGTATTTATTTTCTCCAACAATTATACCTACACATTTCACAGCCAGGAAGAGGAAAGGACTGGCATTCCATTTTATATATCTGTGTGACCATCATAACTAAAGTTATATGCATGTAATTTATACACAAGCACTCGTTTTCAAGTACCAATCATCACTCAGAAGCAGCTTTTGTTCCATGGAGACTGTTTAATTAACTGTTTAAAGCAGTGGTGGGGAATGTCAGCTGGAGGACTGCAGCTTCCATCAACTCTAAGCTACACAGCCAAGCATAAGGAAAGATGGAAGGTGCAGTCCATTAACATCTGGAGTGTTGTATCTTTCAGATCGCTGATCTAAGCAAAGCCCTTTCTCCTCTCACATTTTAGTTGTTGGATTAACATGGTATTATAGAAAAAACTGTTTCTTTTATGACAAGAAAGCTTCTGGCTCTGATGGGTGAACAAAGGCTACCCTTACAATGAGTCCAAAAGCAATGAATAGACAATGTTATATATAAGTAAGGGTTTAATCCTATGCCTGTTTAGACAGAAATAAATCTTACTCCCTGTGCTGAGAGTTGTAGGACTTCTGTCAAAATATGCGTAAGATTGCCCTCTCAAAGTCTGTAATACTATGTATATCTTGGTTCCAAATAGGCATGCAAAAAAGAGTGTAAGTTTACTTGTAGTCATTTCATGATGAACTGCATGACAGGAATGGGGCGATTGCTTCAGTGGAGTCACTCAGTATTACTTGGGGTTGACTGACATGCATATACAAGACTCCGAGTTTTACTGATAGTAGCTCCTTTTGGGAATCATATTGGTTTTTCTCTAGGAATTGAAAGGTCAGCTACAGCTCTCCCAAAACTTCTCACCTGTGCAAAAAAAATCAACTTAAGGATCTTTCTCCAAGAAGAGTTTTGATGTGATACAACATTAGCAAAGATAAATGGTTTTGAAAATGTTTCCATAATACACCCTAAGCTATCTAGATATTTCAGACTCAAAAGAAACTTTATTACATGATCAAAATGTTTTTAACCTTACCTGAATTTCTATAAACACTTGGTTTATGTGCTTTCATGTAGCATGTCCCACGAAACCACTGGCAGAAAGGTAGGGGAAAGTACCCCAAGGCCCATTTTTCCTATTACCTGAATTCTACCATCTCCTTTCTAGTTCTCAGTCTGAATTGCTGGGAGCCAATTATTGCACAGCAAGGTAGAGGGTCCATAATGGAAGATAATCCATTTATGAATGATAAAGAAACTGTAGGATGCAGCTCAGGTCATAATTTTACTTTCTGGATTGCTTTCTACTAAAGACGAATGGCAACTAGCTAAATCAAAAGATTGTTTGGAACAAATTCTCACACAGAGATTTTATACCTGTGTAATTAAACCTTGCTTAATACATAAGAGATATTTTGAGAAAAAGGAAAGGTTCATTCTCAAAAAAGATAAAACACAGTGCTAACCATATACCAAACTCACTTATGTCCCTATACACATGGATATAAACTAAATGTGTCAACAGAATTTTCCATCACATAGTCCCTTTGGACAGAGCACTAATACTGTTTCAGTCATACATGATAGATCATATACAGAACAGGAATGACACGGGTAAAGTTCACTAAATGAATAGTCAATTTTAGAAGGGAAAAAATGCACCCTGACAGGCATTTTATCATATATATTCACTGGGTAAACTAATTCTTCAAAGTCTTTAAGAGTCTTTTTAATGTAACATTTTCAAACTGGATTAAAGAAAAATCCTGCAAAAATAGTACAGAGAATTCATACTTAATGCTAACCCCTGGATTAGCACAGTCTTCCTCAAAGTGATCATTGGCCATGCTGTCTTGGGTTAATGGGGATCATTAAGATGATTTTATGTAATGTGTTCAAATGCAATCTATGTTCCTGGTTCTTGAATTCTTTTTTCCTAAAATCAAAAAGAGAGGTGCGAAATGCACCACATCCTCCTCTTTTCAACAAGAATAGCAGAAAATGGCTAAGGAAACGGCCGACTGTATTAAAAGGTAATCTCCATAACAGCAACATTCAGAAACCCTTTACTTTGAAGTTTTCAAGTTAAAGCAAGCACTAGATTTAAACTTCTGTTGCCTTTTTGTCTCTAGAGCAGAAACAGAAATAGACATAGCTTTTGCTTTTTCTGATGTTTTACCTGTCCTTGAACATTTTATGCAAAGTATTTGGCTTGCAAGCCTCATCAGCTCTAAAACAAATTGCTTATATCATTTGTATCTGCTTTGCTGAACCTGACAGGCAAGATAGCAAATACATTATAATGCTGAATAATTCCAGATAATGACTAGCTAAGAAGCAACAGTAGAATTTCAGTTCATTCCAAAGCTGACCTCTCAACAACATACACTTTATATTACTATATTCTAGTGGCAACTTCAGTTGTAGGACAGTAACAAAATCAAAAGCAATTGAAATGCAAGACAACAGTAAAGAGGAATGTCTTAAATTAAATCTCACATAATTTAGCCCTGCTTAGAAGAGATGTTTCTTGACAAGGAAAACAATGTATTTTATTCCCTCTTCAATTCTCAGACTCTGTCAAAAGTTAAAGAGCAGATTTGGAGTAGATTTCTAGAAGCACAAGTGGTCCTAAGTAATCAGTATAAATGCTATAGAAATATTCAGCATCAGTGAATGAAACAAGATCACTTATTCTGATGGAGACTGCTTGTTTTCTCACAATGCCCAAGCACGATCAGGGTAGTTATATCAGAACACCGGTAAAGTACATGTATAGAGTAACAGTTCAAATAAATTCATGTAAAAGGAAGTCAACGGCCATCCAAGGCTTTGTCACGTGCTATAACCGACTCATCAAATTTGATCATGAGGGTAGTACCCTTATGCCAGTGGGCTGTGACTTTGGCAGGGAAGCCACTGCAAGTAAGCATGGCCTCCACAATGCCAGCCGTAAAGGAGGCACAATTGAGTGTGCTGTTTTCCTTGGGAACTGAAATGTAAGTATTGATGAGAGGTTCCTTCTCGATGATGTAGTAGGTCTTGTCATCATCATTGGCTTGCTCCAGCTTGTCAGCCTCCTTCCCAAACAGAGCCTTCCATACAGTCACCTTGATGAACAACAGGATGTTGATGACTTTGGTTTCTCGCTTGCCATTTTTTTCTCGCATCACCAGCACATCCAAGATACGGGCTCCCACTTGCTGACCTAGCTCTGAGAGTTTGTTCTGAAGCTCAGAAACAGAGTAGACCCTGTTCTGGCAGTACTGCACAATCTCAGAAAACAAGAGTGAAAAGGCACTGAGGCTGACATCTGTCTTGGGTCGGGTGAGCGACCGTTCCAGGATAGCAGACTTCCCACGTGTAAAACGTGCATCCATGGTGCTAATGAGCAAAACACAAATTTTGGGGTAATAAGCACTTGTATTAAATGAGTACAGGCAGAACTTCAGCAAGAGAGTGTCCAGCTCAGCTGCCTGCAGAGCCTGGCCAAATGCCTCTGGGGCCCTTCAGAGGAAGGCATCGTCAGGGAGCTGACCCTGGGGATCCCTGTGCTGCTGTGAACAGGTGGTTTCTAAAGCCACCACCCTGACAATTGCCTTGCTCTAAAAAAGGACTCATCAGAGCAAAGCACTGGGGGGAAGAGAAAGTGACAGCAGCTGGCAGAGCAGTTCACATTCCTCCCACTCCAAACAGCAGCAAGCAGTAGCTCATGTTCCCCTCCCATATGACTGCAATGGCACATATTCCCGCCCCACCAGGAACACACCCTTCTGTCTTAAGTGGGGAAAGATCTTGCACCAACCCAGAAACACAGAGTTTATGGAAAGCAAGAATATGCTATTGTCCTCATGTTAGGTTTGTGGACTTTCACTAGCATTTAGCTAGCTGCTTTGGACCCAGAATGCTGGACTATACAGGTTTCTGGGCTGATGCAGCCCAACTCTTCTCATGACCTTATGAATTCACTACAACATGCGATGGTGATAGCCATAAGTTTACACAGTTTTAAATGAAAATTACAAACATTAATCAAGGCCAGCAACTGCTATTAGTAGTGGCAGCCATTTGGTACCCAATGAGAAGCACCTTTGAGTACTTTTTTCTGAGAGATGCTATGCTTTTCATGCCCTGTTTCTAGGCTTTCTGTAAGCATATAACTGGGCATTGTGGGATCTGATTAGCTGGAACAAATGTTCTTGTCATTAGCTTCTTTCATTTATTCAGAAATAATGATAGAAACATACAGAGATACCAAACTTTCATTTCCAGATTTCTTTCCTTTACACTACAGACAAAAATATTTCAAGGCTGTTTTACTATATAAGGTTTGTAGTTTTATGAGAGTGCTGAGGATTACCAAAGAATGACAAAACTTTAGGATTCTCTTTGGAAGTAGCCATGTTCACCCCGCCAATTGTCAAATCTTGTCAAAGGCAGATGCGAGATATATTCCCCCTTGCAGCAGAAAACAGCTTTATCTCGATTGAAGCCAGGTTTTTTTTTAAAGGGCATCTACCCTCTTTCCCAGAGTTAAAGACATTCTCAACTAGGCTGACTCGGCTCTGCGGGGTACGGCGACAGGGATGGCTGAAAAGCGCCTGTAGCGGAAAAGCGCTGCATGTGACCCCATCATACTTCCTTCCCACCCTTACTGCACACTAAAGCTCCCCACATCCCCTTCACAGCCCCATTTTCTCACCCAGTGTATGAAGTTATCAAGCTGTTACGATCACTTCCGCCTCTACAACACCCTTTACGACTGCCGCAAAAGGAGTCGAGACGGAGTACATGAGCTTAGCGGAAGTATCAAGACCCAGCCAGCGTCCCCATGGCAACGAGAACGCGAAGTGCATAAAGCCTGTGAGCTTGAGTTGAAACCGACAATAGTAAAAGACTTACGCGTCTTTCACAAAGATGCAGAATAAAATAGGGGCTCGTCAGAAAGCTGAAGGAAGGAAAGAAAGGAAAACGTGTCTTGGATGTGGGAATGTTACAGGAGCTATTAGTTACCACCTCTATGATTACCAAGGAAGTGGTCGGTAGATCGACGTTTCCGGTTTCTCCGCAAGAGCGAAAGGCGGTTATACGCATGCGCACTGCAATTAATCTCTCTCCTTTCTCTGATCTATGGAGCTCTCCTTGTATCAGGCGCTGGCGAGGTTTGAGGTGGAGGTTCGTCGCGTGTCCTTTGGCTCTCTCCACTGGACGATTTTGGTCACAAACGCGCAGAGCAGGCATTATACTGAAAAAACCGAATAGAATGAATGAAAAACGGGATTTCCATTCTTTTCTAAGAATTCTTTAAGTGGATTTTACGTGGTTGAGGCATTCAGCTGCATACTTTGGCTCTGGATGGACCATAATATGGCTACTATTGGAATTCCCAGTGTCTGAGAAAGGTGTTCAGTTTGTTGGAAATGAAGCTTTAGGTTAAATGCCAGTCGATGCCATTTCATACAAGGGGTGTGGCACTCTTGGAGGTGTGGACCTATGATTTGGGGTTGCCCAAAGTTTGCCCAAGAACCTGTATTAAAGATGAAATTATCACTATGTGACAGGACACTTAATGTTGTTGGGCTAGATGTGACGCTATGCCATCACAGTGGACATGCTTGAGGTTTGGGTGTATGACTGGGGGTATTCCAAAGGTTAGTTTGTGCCACTGTACCTCTTTAATCACTTGTTTGTAATTCTGTTCCACAGTCATCACACAGCAAAAAGCATTGTGCAAAACCAGCACATTTTTAGTTTGAAGAGGACCATCCCCCTTGTTTATGGCAAGACACTCTATAAGGTGCAGGGACCTTAGTTCTTTTAATTCTTTTTTAAAGCTTTGCACTTGGCTGGATGCCATGCTTTCAAGGAACAAGGAACTGGGAGCTAGTAACCAACTTCAGCCATGTCCACACCAAGACATGTGTTAAGGAGGCTGGCAGCTTTTGATTTATCTCTAATCCAAAAATGGCACATCATAGCTATAATGTTCTTATATATATTTCTTAGTTATATGCATATCTCTTCTGTGGTCTTATGTATAGCAAGTCACAGCAGCTCTATGCATCTGCAAATGGATATATCCATGTACGGTTTGCCAAAGAAGTCACATTTCTGCTTTTTGTACTGTGAACTACTCGAGCTGCTAGTTCTAACCTAGAAACACTAAATGGCCTGGATCCAGTATCTCTCTCTTCATATGAGTCTTCCTTCTCTTGGTGTTGCTCTAATAAAAGTTATACATTTTATATGTTAAAATATGAAAAGCCTCACCTGTCCTCTCCCGCCCCACATATGCAGGGTTTTTCCTTTCTATTTCCTTCTCTGGGAAAAAGGAAAAACAGTTCCAAGCTGTGCTAGTGATTCACCCATTCTTGGACAGCTCCTGATTATCCAGCTGAAACAGAATGGAAACAATGTTGCAATTGGGGCAGCTGTGCTTCCTTTGCAATGTAATAATATCTAGCCAGCTCATGCTTTGTCTTAAGGAATTTTGCATCTTTTATTGTAAAAAACAAAACTTTGAAACCTGTTAGCATTTTGTAACTCCTGATTGTTTTATTTGTTATCTGTTACTCAAGCATTTAATGTGTCATGATGTTTTTTCTGATGTCTGTAATGATTTCTTGAAGTCTCTGTATTATGATATTGTGCTTCCTCATTGTTCTTCCCTTCTTAGCCATTCAGAATCTCATCACTGCCCTGAAACTGTACATGAGCCGCAACTTATAAAAACTCTGCATATGCTCTGGAAAGCTTGTAGCCAGTTTGGTATACTGGCTACCCAGCAGCGCTGATGTTTATTCTCTATTAGAGAGGGATTCCTGGGGTGTTTTGCCAATAAACTGCTGAAATTGAATGTATCATTTTCCGTGTGAAACCAAATGTACATTCTCCCAGTCTGTGATTCTGAGCTTTCCTGACACTTCCTAGTAGTGAAGGTGGTGATGATGATGGGGATTTCTTTCTGTGGTTGCTAGCCTCTCACAAAGGGGCTAAGGTACCATTTTATATAAGACAGCAGAAGTGTTGAATGGGTGTCAGGAATTGCCAGTGGCCTGGATGATGGCCAATAAACCGAAATCAGCCCTGATAAGATGTTCTAAAAGTCAGTGGTTGGTTTGTTCAAGAAGATGGTGTTTGGCCTGTTCTGGATAGGGCTGTGCTCTCCCTAAAAAAGTAGGCTTGGTTCTTATAGTCAACTTTGTCAGTAGAGGTCCAAGTTACTTCAGTGGCACAGAGCACCTTCCACCAGCTGAAGCTCCTGGAGAGATTGACCAGCCACAGTTATAGGTGTTCTGACATCCTCAGGTTGAACCACTGAAATATCTTGTAAAGAGAAGCTAGCTTTCAAAACCATCGAGAAACTGCATTTTGTTTGAAGCAATGACTTTCAGGTTACTTTCTGGGGCTGTACTTGAGGACGTATCTTCTACTGTATGAAAGGGCTTCTTGGCATAATTCAGAGTGCATCTTCTCAAGTAGTTGAAATTACACTGTTCCCACCTCTCCCAAGATTATCTTTGAGGGCTTTCTTGTGGGTGTCCCCACGTGGCTAGAAAGGAGACTTTATTGTTTGTGCTACCCCATTTGTGAAATATTTTTGCATACCTTGGCTCAGTCAAGAATTCAAATGGAGATTGCAGTCATGAAATTAGAAGAAGACTGAGACTAGGAATAGTAGCAGTGAAGGAATTAGAAACATCATCAAGCATAAGAATGATTTGCTGGAAACCAAGGCCATGATCACACTATTGTACTCCTGATCACTATGTATGGGTGTGAAAGTTAGACAGTGAAGAAAACTGACAGGAAGCAAAGCGATGTATTTGAAACATGGTACTGGAGGAGAGCTGTGTGAATGTCCTGGATTAACAGAAAGATGAACAACTACATCCTAGATCAATTCAAGCCAGAATGTCCCCTGGAAGCAAAAATGACAAAATGGAGGTTGTCATACTTTGGCCACATCATGAGAAGGCACGATTCACTGGAGAAGACAATCATGCTAGTAAAAGATAAAGGCAGAGAGAGAGAGAGAGAGAGAGAGAGAGATGAAGAAGGCCAATTATGAGATGGAGTGATTCATAAAGGAAGCCACAGGCTTGAGTTTGCAAGAGCAGAGCGGGGCTGTCAAGGTCAGGACATTTTGAAGGGTATTCATTCATTCATTTATTTATTTATTAAAACATTTTTATGCCGCCCCATTCGCCAAAGCCTCGGGGCGGCTTACATCACTATGTCATTGACAGGGTCACCATAAGTTGGAGAAGACTTGATGGGAAATAGCAACAACATTTCTGAATTTCTCCCCCCCAGTGAGGCCCACCTGGCATCAGCATTGCTAACTGTTTTTTTGCCAGACAATGGCCTTTTGATTCCACTAGACCTTTCAAACTCTTCAAAATATTGTTTTAAGCTTTGCTTCATGATTGTTATGTAATTTCTAATGATTTTTTCTGAAGGTATTTTTATAAATCAACATGAAAAACCTGTTGAAGGGTGGTGTAACAATCTCTTAAATTAGGATGGGAGAGAAAGTTGCTTTAACAGTGCAGCTAGGAAGCAGTATATAATGCCCCCCCAAAAAGGAAATTATTATTTTTTAAATGTCAATATATTTAAATATTCTTTGCTTTACAATATTTTCCTTTCCAGGATATGAGCAGGATTCACTAAGGCATAGGACTAAAAGAGAAATAGAGAAGTTTCCACTTTCCGTTGTACTATACAGAATTGGCTGCAAACACAAGTGAAACTTGGTGATTCATGGATGTTTTCCAGTATCAAGAAAACAAATAGGTTTGTGCATTATGCCTGTTCAAAGGAAAAAGCCCTTGGAGTCCTCATATATAAGGCTATATTTGATTCTGAACATGAGACATAAAGGAAAGAAACGTGAATCAACTTGTATTTTTACAAAAGATTCCCCTGTTCTCTCACAAGAAGTAATGAAAACAGGAAACTGACAGTGCTTCATCATCATCATCTTCATATAATACTATGTTTTGGCCTTATACATCTTCAGTACGTACTGCCTCCTAGGGTCATAAAGGAGCTGGAGGAAGTATTAGAACCACTGTCTATTCTCTTTGAGAAATTATGGTGGACATGGGAGGTGCCAATGACTGGAGAAGGGCTACTGTTGTCCCCATCTTCAAGAAAGGGGAAACAGAAGAACCTGGGAACTACAGACCAGTCAGTCTGACATCAATCCCTGGAAAAATTCTGGAGCAGATTTTAAAGCAGTCAATCTGCAAACACCCTGAGAACAATGCAATGAGTATAAGAAGTCAACATGAATTTCTCAAGACCAAATCCTGCCAGACAAATCTGATTTCATTTTTTTGACTGAATAGCTTCCCTGATAGATTGTGGGATTCCTATGGACATAATCTATCTTGACTTTAGCAAATCTTTTGACAAAGTGGCCCGTGATATTCTGATAAGCAAAGTAGATGGAACTAGTGGACTGGATGGAACAAGTATCAGGTGGATCCACAGTTGGCTACAAAATCAGACTCAAGTGTGATCATCAATGATAACTTCTCAGACTGAGTAGAGGTAGTAAGTGGGGTGTTGCAAGGTTCAGTCTTGGGCTCAGTGCTCTTCAATATTTTCATTAATGATTTGGATGAGGAAGTGCAGACAATGCTTATCAAATCTGCAGAAGACACAAAATTGGGTGTGATAGCTAGAAGACAGAAGATTCAAGGCAATCTTGACAGGATGGAGCACTGAGCTGAAAACAACAGAATGAAATTCAGCTGAGACAAGTGCCAAGTTCAGCACATAGGAATAAGAACCCAATCACATCTTTACAAGATGGGGACTACTTGGCTCAACAGTACTGCTAGTGAGAAGGATTTTGGAATTATTGTATATCGCAAGCTAAATGTGATGTGGCTGCAAAAAGGCAAATGCTATTTTAGGCTGCATTAAGAGAAGTATCACTTCCAAATAACATGAAGTACTAGTTCCTCTTTAATCATCACTGGTTAGGCCTCATCTGGAGTACTGTGTCCAGTTCTGGGCACCACAGTTTAGCAGAGATGCAGACAAGCTGGAAAGAATTCAGAGGAGGGCAACAAGGATGATTAGGGCCTGGGAGCAAAGTTCTATGAGGGGATACGAAAAGAATCGGGCATGGTTAGCCTTGAGAAGACTGAGGGTAGATATGATCACACTCTTCAAGTACTTGAAAAGCTGTCATACAGAGGAAGGACAGGTTTTCTTCTCGATCATTCCAAAGTGCAGGGCATGGAATAACAGGCTCAAGGTGCAGGAAGCCAGATTCTGGCTAGATATCAGGAAAAATTTCTTGACTCTTAGAGCAGTAAGACAATGGAACCAATGACACTGGTCTACAAATTTTGGGAAATTATCGGCTTCCAAGATAAAATGTGCTAATTTTTACATATTTTGATTAGATGAATTAGAAAACAGTTGATAAAGGTGCTGGTTGGCCAAAGTTTTCAAGATATTTCACAATAAAGATTTATGCACAGGTGAGTATATTTGCCTACAAGGGAGGGAGGTGTCTGATGATCATGATGCCTCGTAACTTCTTGACAAAGTACGGTAGAACAATGAAAATGGTACCACACAGAAGTGTATAACTTTATCTTCACTTTGAGACTAAAGATTATTATCTAACTGTAATTTATTGCTCTTTTATTGACATTTGTCTTGGTCAGACCTACGCATCATGCAGTTACATCTGGCAGCTTGTGAAAGTGTCATTGTCTAACATTTCCAAGGAACAGTTATGTGATATTTCCCCTTAGCAGCCAAGATGCCTCAAAACTGTGTAAACGAGGCAAATAACTTCTGCTACATTTGTGGTGAGGTTACATTTGCATCCCCTTGCCGATTCCAGATCCACCAGAATCCTCCTCTCTATGCTCAGATGATGATAATGACAATGAGCAGGATGCAGCTGATCCAAGGCTGTCAATGTCAGCAGACCCAAACTTTATTCCTCCTCCTGAACCACATCTAATTTCATAGAGTGAATTAAATGACCATTCTCATTGCTGTATCACATTTTTCAGAAAAGTTATGGTGCATAATCACACATCCCCCTCGTAATTTTGAATTATTTTGATGCAATTTTGACCTGAAACTGTATCTTGGAAACCGGAGCCAATTAATACTCAGGACTTAATTTTCCTTTATTAGTGACCCAGTTCTGGTAAAATTTAGCTACTTTCATTTCTGAGGCTTTTTCCTTGTAGACCAGTGTGACCTGGGGAGGCTGTGGGCTCTCCCACACCAGAGGAATTCAGGATGCAACTAGACAGCCATCTGAGAGCGACGGCTTAGCTTGGAGTCCTGCACTGAGCAGGACGTTGGACCTGATGGCCCTCTGATCCCTCCCAACTCTAGTATGATTCCCTTCTCTATCGCAAAGCTTTGCATAGAACACTTACTAGTGCTTTTGTCCATTTCCCCAGTCCTTTTCCTTTGCTGACCTGGCAATTCAGAAGGTAATTATCTCCTTCTCTTTCACACCTGTTCCATATGCTCCCTTAAAAGTATATGAAAAGACTCTTTGAGCTTTCTTTTGCTGTGGCCCTCAGAAAATTTCCCATGAAGTTTCAAAGAGATGGTTATATAAGGGTACACTAAGCAACAGAGATTCAGCAGCTTTGTTCACTGCTATAAATTTTATCTTGATAGACCCAGAGGGCTTCTCTGCACAACACATTTCTTGTGCATGTGCTCCCTCATTCACAGAAGCTTGCAAGATCATTAGCACTATCATTCCCCGGGGCCTCTCCCGCATTTTCCAGCCATTTTTGCAGCTTTTTTTGAAAAAAATAGGAATAGCTAAGTCAGCTATTTCCTATTGTGCTACTATTTTTTGTAATTGGCCTATGCTACAGCACCACCTTGTGGTTGGGTAATAGAACATATAGGAACATGGATGAAGGAAAACAAATAAGGAAAAACACAAAGAAAACAGATGCTTCAGCAAAGCTGTGGATTAAATGCATCCTGCAGAAAAGCCCAGGGAAATCAGTTCACATGTAATGCTGAAGCATGTCCAATCATCAAAATTCATGCTTCCTCCACATAATTCATTTCTTCTCCCGACTGAGCATGCTGTGCTTTATACTCGCCTTCCTTGTAAGGGTTGCAAACATAGTTTTGAACATGGGTTGATATATATATGAATCAGCCAATGGAAAGTGACGTGATCTTAATTTTTATTTACCTCCCACCTCTTACATCATGAAATTGGGAGAGCCCATTTTCCAGGGCTCCTCTTCCTTCCACTCTGAAGAGTGAGCTCACAATGCATCTGGAGCCCCAAGTGAGGCAGAGGGAGAGCAACACCACCAGAGAGTTTGGGGACTTTCCTGGAATGAGAAGAAACTTGGCACATTCATAGATCTCTGGATATATTCAGAGGCACAAAAGTATCTGCAGAGCACCGGGTGCAATTTTCCCCCTGGTTTTCAGAGCAGAAATCAGCATGCAGCTTCACATGCTCCCCCTTGTGCTGCAAGGAAAATATCACAGGTTGAAGAAAAGGTTTTAGAAAAATGCAGCATGTAACAGCGCTCCAGGATTAAGCCATGCGCAATGAATGGATGAGCTCTACTTGTCTAATGTCATAAAACAGGAGATAAGAGAAAGAGAATGAAAGGGTTCTATGAACTGGGGGTCCCTGGAAAAGAACAAATGGCACATTGACAGGCGGCAGAGGCCATGTTTTCCTCACATGTGTGCATCTTTAGCATTGCTCAGGTCAGGTGAAGATGGCAATGATAAAGCTTTTCATCCCATGGTCCTCCAGGCACTTGTGGACTCTATGGGCAGATGTATGGGAATATGCATTGGTGCTTCAGAGCAAGCCATGCCATCGCTATATTCTAGAATTCACCATGGGCAGGTAAGCTAGTCATGGGATGATTTTCCACCATTGATAGATATGTGATCCCTGTTAAGATTTACTTGCTTATTATGCCTAGAACTGTTCATTTTGTATAATCTGATCTGATCTAGTCCATATTAGAAGCTGTGTATGTGACTTGCTATAATTATTGCAACAGTCGAATGCCCCATGATTGATCATGTGTATTTTTTTGTACTTGCTTAAGAAAACATACTTCCCATTTTGGAAAAGCCATGTGCGTGTGCATGTAAGCTCACTGAAGACAAACAAGTAGTGCAAGCCGACTTAGGTTCTTGTATTTCTGAACATATGCGTGTGCATATGTGTGTTCAGAAAAGATGTTCATGTTCCATTTTTTGTGGGTACAAACTGAGACTCGGCATACTGATGATTTCGTTTGTCCTTTTGATGCATTACTGTACACTCCAGCACTAAACTTGTTAGTGATTTATTTGAAAGGAACGCTGCAAAAGAAGTCCCAAAATGACACCCCATCCACAGAGAGCCAACTTCTTCTGCCCTCAGCAAGCTAAGCAGAGAAAAATCCAGACATGCAAGAGCATGCTCTGGGGACACCATGCCAACCCATGCCTTAAATGTCCCTACCCTGGAGATCCAGGAACTGCTTCTTTGTCTTGGGGAGCTTCCTCATCAGCCCTGCTGATTAATCCGATTAATTGCTGTTAGTTAAAGCAAAGCATGCTGATCCTCTATTTTAACTTTTTCTATAGTAGCTTGCATCCCGCATTTCTCTGTGTACAAGGTCAACAATGTGTTGTTCTCCTGGATATTTCCTAGGTCTCTTCTTCCTTCCCTCCTCCTGCCTTTATTGTCCCAAGTTGCATTGGAACAGATATGCCTGACTCAGGCTAGCTCCAGCAGTGATCACGGCTTCCTAAGACGGCATGTTCTCCCTGCCATCCTCCCGAATCAGGTCAAAGAAAGTAGCATAGTTAGTGTCAAGAACTGGGTTGTGGCTCCTTGCTTCCTGTGGTTTCTGAGCTACCGGAAACGCTCTTGCAAGACACAGCCATGTTGATCCCCTCCTTATAACTCAGTGGCTGCCTTTGGGGATATTGCCAAATCTCACTTTGGAAGGAACGCTCCATGACCAACCTCTTCAGACACACTGCAGCTGCACTGTACACACAAAAAAGAACAAATGGCGCATCTCCGGCCAGGTAGGAACTCGGCCATGGGCAAGGTGGGGGGATAGCCATGGAAGCGGTCCTTCTCTACCTGCACCACTGTCTGCTGGATGACAGTATTTACTGTAAAGACAGTAGGAGTGCGTGAAAAGTGAGAGCAAGCTGAGACGGGGGGGGAATGATTGTGCCGACTGTGGGCAGGACGGAGCCTGTTCTGGAGGAGCAGTGTGCCTGAGATGAAAGAGAATCTGCTTCCCAGCTAAATCCTTCACTGTGCATGTGTACTTTCAGCAACAGGGCAGCCTGGCTGTGCCTGAAGGGACCACCACCCAAGCCTGAACAAGTATTCTTGCCTGCTTTCTGGTTGGCCTATTCACAACATCATCTTTCGCTTTTGGAGAAGCAGTGACCCTTTCTGACTTACTGTCCTAACTTGTCACCGGCATCTCTTGACTTCCTAACATAGAAACAGAGCAAGTCAGAAGGGGTCTCCTGGGCCATCTAGACTGACCCCTGGCTCCAGCTGGCTCAAGTGCCTTTCCTAAAAGAACCACACTGTTTATGGGCACATTATGACAGTCTTCTGAGGTTGGCAATTGCAGCTCAGCCACTTAACTGCCCACCCCTCCTTTCTTGCCTGTCTCTTTAATATTTGATATGGGTACTTGATTAGGAATAAGCAGCAAAGTGGTTGGGTTTGCCAATTACACCAAGCCATTTAGAGAGGTTAAAACCAAAAAGGGATTGTGAGGTGCTCCAAGCTGAGAAAATAGGCTTGAAAATGGCAAATGTGGTTCAAGGTATGCGTGTGTGAAGTAATATATGTTGGGTCAAAAAAGTCCAACTTTAAGTATAAGCTAATGGAATTTAAGCTGCCATTGACTGACCAAGAAAGGGATCTTGGGGATGTGGTTGACAGGCTGATGAAAACGTTGGCCCAGTGTGTGTGCAGCTGCTGTGGAAAAACCAAGCTCCAGGTTAGGCATAATTAGGGAAGGAATTGAAAATGCTACTGCCAAGATCATACTTCCCTTATGCAACTCCTTGGTGCAACTGAAAATGAGCGTCAAAATGGCAAATGTGGTTCAAGTTAAACAAGTGTAAAGTAATGGATGTTGGAGTAAAATAAAATAAAATAAAAATCCCAACCTCAACTATAAGCTGATGGGATCTGAGGAAGCAATGACAGACCAAGCATGTTCTCGACACCACACCTGGGAAAGGACATTATAGCGCTGGAAAAAGTGCAGAGAAAGGCAACTAACATGATCAAGGAGTTGAAGCAACTCGCCTTTCAGGAGTGGTTACATTAGCTGAAATTGTCTAGCTTAGACAAAATGAGGGTAAGAGGATACATAAAAGAGGTGTTCAAAGCCTCTAGACATACACAGTAGAGATATGCTTGGTGTGGAAAAAGTGGAGAGGGATACAGATAAAAGTACTTCTTCAGATAGCATACCGTTAAACTGTGGAATTCACTGCCACAAGAAATAGTAATGACCATCAACTTGGAGGGCTTTGACAAGGGATTGGGCACATTCCTGGAGGCTATCGGTGGCTACCAGTCAGGGGGGCTCTATGCTCCCTCCCTCCATGCCCACACGCACCAGTTGCTGGGACACTCGGGCAGGAGGGGGCTGTTGTTCTCCTGCCCTGCTTGAAGGATCCTACAGGCACTTGGTTTGCCACTGATCGGCTGGGATGCATGCCGTGGAGAGGTACTGCAAGCGCAGCGAGATGCTGGGAGCTGGAGAGAAAGACGAGAGACACATATTTTTCATTCTTACTCATGGAAAAAGCTGCCGGTTGGATCAGAGCTGCCCATCTTACCTGGCAAGCTTCCTGACAATGCTTTTAGCCCTACCAATCAAAATGTGTTGTTCAGCAATTCCAGCTTTCCCTCCATAATAGGTTTGCTGTGATGAGGAAAACAAGCTCAAAGGGGTAGGAAAACATGGGAGGATTATAAATGGAAGACAAAGTTGATGCTTGGACTCCCTTAAATTCCAACAATGAGGCAAGGTACTTGCCAAATAAAACATCTAAAGCAACTCTAGCGGGCAGTGGCTACCAAGATTCATAGATTTTGGATGGTTGTTTTACATTAGCTGTAGAAATTTTTTTACACTAATTCCCAGCCTCTTCCTTTTCATTCACCCTTCCTGAAATGTAGGCTTTTTTGGGTCAGCTATGATATTGGCAGGAAAACCATGGCTCAAGATGTATCATATCACTCTTATCTTTGTAGTGTCGTATATAGTTAAATACTAGTGAGGTACTGCCAGTATCTTGGCTTGGAAAATCCAAAGTACAGAACCATCTCCTGCTCGCCCTCCAAGTTAATCAGTAGTTTGTGGGATCTCTCTTTCCTCAATGCCAGTGTAGCATAGTGGCTAGATGGGTGGACTCAGGAGATCCAGGTTCAATTCCCCCATTAGCCATTACACTCACTGGGTGACCCTGGGCCTAACCTACCTCAAAGGGTTGTCATGCATATAAAATGGAGACCAAGAGAACCTTGTAAGCTGCCTTGAGTTCCTTACAAGAGGAGGAAAGGCTGGGTATTCATGGAATGTGATGATGATGATGATGCATGGCTTTTCTGTTACACCTTTTTTCTTTCACATCTTTTTCGCCTGTATCTTCTGGAACTCTGTTGCATATGCACCTCAAGACAGGCTTACAATACAATCGTATGCATGATGACTTGGATGTAAAGCCAACTGAATTCAACTGGGTTCTTTATTCCCACATAACAGGGCAAAAGCTAAGAGTAATAAGTGAGTTCCACCCATAACCACTTACAACCACGGCAACTATATACAGTAGGTTAAAAGAAAATTATGTATATCCCAAAATATAACATTTAACATAAAGGCTAATGTCACTAGAAACTAAAACAATTGGCTAACTCTCCAAAAATTCCCATCGGTGCAATCTTTAAGCCATCCCCCAGAGTTAGTTCTTGTTTATATATCTCCCTCTGAAGAGAACCAGATGGATCAAAATGTGCTTGGGATTTCATTATCTGGATCTGGAAATTATTATTGGGATGACGTGCAACCTATGCATGTAATGGGCATGCTCTGACTGCAGGTAACTTCTTTTATTTTTAGTAAGATATTAGCACTTATATCAAACTTCGATTACTTTTTTGCAGTGCTGTGCAAAAGTTCACAGCCTGTTTAACTTTGCTGTATTTCTGGGAGCTGAAAGAAAGAAAGGGAAGCTGCTACCCAGTCTTCAGCCCTTGATCTGGGAGCCGTGGACATGCGCCGAAGGAAATCGTGACTGGGTTGACGAGAAGTGGCTTCCTTGCAACCACAGCCACAGTGGTTAAGGGTGGGAGTGTCCCCAGGCTGTTGCATCTCCTTTTCCCTCTCAGAGACTGCAAGGCAGGGCAGCGCATGAGGCTCCGACGCACGATTACATGGGCACTAGGTGGACCCAGCTGAGCTTAGTGGGAACTGTTTCTGAAGAAACATGTTTAGGATTGGGCTCAAACCAAGGGCTTCTGTGAATTAGGGCCCTAACTTGTTTTAACCTGCCACTTTACTGAGGCTTCCTGATTCTTCACGGGATTAAGATTGGGTCCTTTAAATGTTTCTGATTCCCCAGGAGTTTTTCTCTCCCTGCATTTCCATATGTTCCATTTCACCACCATACGGTGATACTGTGCTATAGCAGAATTACAAAAATACTCCACCATTTTGTAGCATTCTATAGTGAGCTAGCTTGTTAATAGCCCAGTATCTTCCTTTCAAAAAATGGGTCATAGAAATGCTCATAAAACACAGGAGAAATCCTGTAGGATAACATCATGTAAAGCATCCATAAATTACCAAGTGTGAGGAATCAGGACAACTTAGGAAGTACTTCATGTGGGGAAGCCCTAAATCTCTCTCTGGCATGCACACAGGCAGACACACACTGCTTATTTTTTTAACCCAGACAGACATATGGCAGCATGGTAAGACTTGGTAACAAGCATAATGCAATATAAGATACTCGTTTTTAAAATAGCTGTATTTTCTCTTGGCTCGTTTTACACTGTCGCATATGTACAATATATGTGATGCTTTGAGATCAGGGGAACAGGGACGAATGGCATGTCATGTACTAGGAGCTGGGGCTTCTCGGGGCCAGCTTTGGCCAGGCTGGGGGAAGTCTCCTGGCAGAGGGTACCGGAAGGCAAGGGAGTTCAGGAGGGGTGGATGGCTCTGTAAAGGGAGGTCTTAGAGGCACAGGGCTTAACAATACCGCTGATTAGCAAAGCTGAGAGGCGTGGGAGGGCACCACTGCGGATGCAAAGAGAGGTGGTAAGAGGGGTGAGAAGGAAGAGGGGCCTCCACAGGAAATGGACACTGGGGCAAGTGGACAAAAGGGTATACCAGGAGGAGGTGGCATGATGCAGGATTCTTCGCAAGTCTAGGGCTGGTTATGAGCTGATACTTGCTAAATATGTCAAGAGCAACAAAAAGGGCTTCTATGCTCATGCAAATAGGAAGAGGAAGGGAAGACAGACGGTAGGACCACTTAAAAGGGAGGGGGGATCTGGTAACTGATGCAAGGGAACAGGCACAGACGTTGAATGATTATTTTGCTTCTGTGTTCTCCCCAAAGCAGGTTGATGGGGCTTGATGAAGTTGGGGTCATGGGGGCACAGATTGGAGCTACCTCACTAGAAGTCAAGGAGCTCCTGAGGGCCCCGGATGTTACAAAGGTGCTGAGCCCTGATGGGCTACATCCAAAGGCACTTTGGGAATTGCCAGGGGTACTCTCATATTGGTTGGCCTTCATTTTTGAGGCCTTGTGGAAAATAGGAGGAGTTCTGGAGGACTGGAGGGTGTCATCAGTGGTTCCAATCTTCAGAAAGGGTAGCAGCGGGGATATGGGGAATTACAGACCAGTTAGCCTTACGTCAGTTCTGGGAAAGACGATGGAAAGGCTCATAATAGGGAAATTTCTAGAAATCCTAGATAGGGAAGGGAGGTTGGCAGCCACACAGCACGGATTCCACAAAAATAGGTCCTGCCAGACAACCTTGTGGAGTTTTATGACAAGGTTTTGAGTGGCTAGATTGGGGGAGGGGGGGATGTGGTTTACCTGGATTTTGGCAGAGCCTTTGACAAGGTCCCACATGATAACCTGGTTGAGAAATTAATGAGCTTTAGGACAGACTGATGCACTGTCTGATGGATTAGGGCATGGCTGATGGGCCTCAAGCAGAGGGTGACTATCAGTGGGGAATCATCAGGATGGCAGCCGATGACCGGGAGAGTCCCCCAGGGCTCAGTTCTAGGACCGATTCTGTTCAACTTTTTTAATCAGTGACCTGGAAGAGGGGATAACCAGTCTCCTGACCAAATTCACAGACAATACCAAAGTGGGGGCAGTGGCCACAACTGAGGAGCAGGTGGTCCAGATCCAGAAGGATCTGGACAGGCTGTGGAAGTGGTTGGGGGACAACAGGATGGCATTCAATGTGGATAAGTGCAAGGTCTTGCACTTGGGACACGGGAATAGGTGTCACAGGTACAGGATGGGAGACAAATGGCTGAAGAGCAGCTCTTGTGAAAGGGATCTCAGGGGACTTGTCAACATGAGCCAGCAGTGTGACGTGGTGGTTCAGAAGGCAAATGCCACCCTTGGATGGATAGCCAGAAGTGTGGTTCCAGAGCTAGGGAGGTGTTAGTACCACTTAAATGACTCTGGTGCACCCACTAACCTAACATAGCTTGGCCAGAATTGGCTCAGCACAGGGCCAAGAATGATAGCCAGTTTGGGTGTGAAGACATATGAGGAGAGATTGAGGGAACTGGGTCTTTTCAGCCTGGAGAAGAGGAGTCTCTGAGGGGATCTTTTAGCAACATAGAGGTCTGGGAGCGGTTGTCATGTAGAGGAGGGCTGTGACCTCCCCTGCAGTGGTGGGCAGGGCACTCAATGGGACAAAACTCAAGGAACTAGGCTTCAGGTTGGATGTCAGGAAGCACTTCCTGATAGTTAGGACCCCTAGGATATGGAATGTGCTTCCACGGGAGGTGGTTGAGGCCCCATCAGTGGGGATGTTCGAGGAAAGATTGGGCAACCACACATTGGGAATTACATGAGCAGAGCGGCTGGAGCCAGGGGCCATGCTAGATGGGAGGCCACTTCTGACTCACTTTGTTTCTATGTTTCTATGATTTTGGGGAGCTGGGTTCCCCCTTTATGTATCCAAAGCAACAGACCATTCTTTGGCAAAAACTGTGTATACTCCAAAGTACATCCAGTAAGCACAGTCTCCACAGAACGAGTCTCTGAGCATGCACAGAGCAGTTTGTTGAACCCAATCTAGCAACTACTTTCGAGAACCCTCCTTTTGAGCAGCCCTGGTCCCCTCCCTCTGGGAGGGCCCCTTTGAGGTGGGCCGGCCTCTTTGCTGTATGCCACCCATCTAGCTGGCTAGCCCCTCTCTCCCAGCACTGTGCAAAAGTTGCACCAGGCTTGCCTGGCTCCTGGAGCTCCTGTCCCACACCCTCTCCTGGCAGTTGTAGATCCTGGCTAATCTTGGAGCCTGCCTGAACACCTGGAAAGGGCAGCTTAGAGATAAGCCCCTCCGCTTCTCCCATTTCAGTATCTGGAGGGCCCCAGGGCCCATCCTCCCGCTCCAAAGCCCTTGAAACTTGCACCAAACACAACTGCCTCTTTCATTCCCAACAGTAATTTATATCATTGCAATAACATGGGGGCGTGTGTGTGTGTAAGAGAAAGAAAAAGAAAGTGCAAGAGAAGAGGGGGAGGTGTGTGTAAATTGATAACAGACACAGTGGGAGTGTCTGTGCTTGTGCGTGTGTGGATGTGGGTGAGAGGGAAAGAGGCTGATGCTGCATCTCTAAATGGTAATCTAGAGAGAGAGAGAGGAGGCTGGCAGGGCGCAGTGAGTTTGCCTTCAGTACACTAGCTTTCTGTTGCTGCTGCAAATGGTGGGTTAAACTGAGCCGTTTCATCTTAACCAGGTGACATGCAACCATAGCAGCAGTTCCGCAACTGGGGCTGCAGCTCTTCTAGCCACTGCAGTCACCAGAGTTACGACGGTGCTTGCTGTGTCTTGTCCTCTTGCATGTACAAAATCACAGGAATGAAATGAATGGGGCTTGCATTTGGACACCAGCACTTAGCAGCTATTTCTTTCTCTAGCTTCTGAAGGTTTTGAAAATTCGGACAGAGATTATGAGAATGTGTTACCTCCACGTGTGCTGAGACTGCAGCAATTAGGTACAAAGCCAGCACGGGAAGCAAAGCCAGGTAAGAGCTCCTTAGCAGCACCAAATGATCTTGTCCCGCAGATCTAGAAGTCTTATTTATGGGGTTTGGGGAGCAATAAAACTGCCTTGATGTGCAATGTGAGGGCTCATCCTATCACCTCCAAGAAAGGCTTACCAGGACCTCTTTCAATAGTGGTTGCATCATTAACAATCTTACCAGAGAAGCAGGGTGGTGAAACCCATGACCATGACACCTTGGCATCTTTCTGGATGTCCTTATTTGACTGATAAGATACAGTGTTTCAGGAAAGAATCAGTCACTTGCTGATGCAGGAGAAGGGGAAGAAGGATGATCTTAAACTAACAGAACATCTTGTGACAGGAAAGCCCTGGTATAAATGAACATGCTATAAGAGTTTCCACGCTTAAGGGGTGGTGCATTTTTTAAGTAGCTAAGATACTGTGACACATCATACTGTTTGAGTCAAAACTTGATCCATATAAAATATTGTGACAAGCTTAGCCATATAACTTCATTTTACTTCCTCCCAGCGGGATCAAACATTGTGAAACAACTGGTTGGTTATGACCTATAAAGCTCTTAACGGCTTGGGTCCTGGTTACCTGAAGGAGCGCTTACGTCCATATTTGCCCACCCGCCCCTTGAGATCAGCGGGAGAGGCCCTTCTCCGGGAACCCTCCGTGAAAGAAATTAGGAGGGTAGGTACTCAGAGGAGGGCTTTCTCTGCGGTGGCGCCCAATCTATGGAATGCGCTCCCCAGAGAGGTCCGCCTGGCGCCGTCGTTATTTGTTTTTCAGTGCCAGGCCAAGACCTTTTTATTTAAGCATTATTTTAATTGTTAATATTATTTTTTATTTTATTCTTTGGCCAGGTCGACTCAAATTATATTGTTTTTATATTTTGATTATTTATTTATTGTTGTGAGCTGCCCTGAGGCTTCAGCGAATGGGGCGGCATAGAAGCCTCCTAAATTAATGATAAATAAATAAATAAACTGTGACACAAACTCCCAGCCTTCCAGCATGTTTAGTTACCTCATCACTTCCCTATATTTACTTCCAGACTATTTGGCCAAAGCCCTTACTTCTGGCAGAATTCTCCACGCAGATCTGCCTACTAGATCCAAGGGCTAAGAAAAGATCTTGAACTCCCTGCACTTCGATCTCAGTGCCCAATACACCAGCCTTCCCCTCCAGATGTGTTGGGCTGCACCTCCCAGCACCCCTCACTGGTACAGTCAGTGAGCATATGGGCCGGGGATGATGAGAGCTACAGTTACATCACGATGGGAGCTACGTCTGCACCAGGTTTGGGAAGGCTCACTTGCAGGTTCTAAACCAGAACTGTTGCTGCTTCTTTCCATGCTCAACTCATTAGGCCCTCTGTCTCCCAGGATTACAGGGAATAGAGAACGTGGAAGCTGATGGCCTGAAGCACCACACCACCAAGGCACCATATCCTCACCCACCCCACTTCATCCTGGAACTTAGTTCCCATGGTGTCCCCTACCCACAGGATCTTTGGTGGTTGAACAGGGGTGGCATTAAGTCCCGTATGCATATTTGCTTGTTTTCCTTCTTTTCAACACTATCCTCCCGCCTTTTATATCTACAAGTCATACTGGGCCTGCTTTCCAATACCAACTCTCTACTATAACAGTAACAGTACTTACCTTGTTTGTGGTTCTTTACAGATGTTCCTTCATCCATCACATTGACTGACAATACAAGGGGCAGATCTTGGAAAACACCCATTGTCATTCTTTACCTCTTGGTGTGTGTTTCCCTGTTAATAGCCACAACAGCGTTTGTGCTGTCCTTTTTGAAATGTAAGTTCAATAAAAGAGTTGTGTGGATGGATTGGGAGAAAGGCTCAGAAATGCTAGCCACAAATGTCTGGTTGTTGATGTTGATATGGATTATATCAGCCAGACTGGTAAAGGGCCCACTCCAGCCACTGAAAGCATGTGGATCATTCCTGCTCTGTCATTCAAGAACATGTGTTGTGTCTTGGCTCAAGTTGGGTTACTTCTTGGGACAAAGCTATACATCACATTCCTTGCAGTTATGCTTCAATTGCATGTCCAGTTTTAAAGAAGCCATGGAACAGGAGAAATCAGGACCAAGATGCAGGACCAGGGAGTAGGGGTTCTTAGCTCTTTCTCACACCACATTTCCTATGACAGAGTACCACTTGTTCCCTATCTGAGCTGTGCAGTGCATGTCATCTGTCCTCCATCTACAGAATCACAGCCTGTTGCGGTGGGTTGCTGATGGAGTCACTTCCACTGACGTGGCAGTGCTGATGACCAAGCCCAGAGCTCTACTGATGGGATTGTCTCAGGCTTATGTTTATGTGGAGTTAAAATGGGGCCAGCTGCCTAAGTGTGCCCATAAAGATTTGACTTTCATGGTTGACGAGGATACCTTCCTTGGCTTTCTCAGAATGGTTCAAATTTGTAGGTGTGGCATGTAAACAGGGGGCCAGTGGCCAACTTGGGAGGGGTAACAAGACGTTTGCAGCCCAAAGGAAAGGAGGTAGGACAGGGCTCTGGTGCAGTTTAACAGACACCCTGGTGAATGATCTATGTAGCAGCCTAACGCATCCCCTGCCCTGCCCAGAGAGTGTGTCGCTGCTGCACTCGTGTCCTGCTTGTGGGTGTCTCATCCGGCAGGGCCCTTCTTGTGCCATGCATGCATGCACAAATATCCCCAGCAACAGCACTGGACATGCAATGTAGAGAATCCAGTAGAGGTCGAAATGGTTCTGAAAAGCTGGCTGTTCTGGGACTGGTGGCACACGCCCATTCCTGGAACACAGAACGCTTTCAGTTCCATGTTACTCACCCCAGGACTGCTCTATGCACTGCAGTTTTTCCCCGCTGCCCATACGGTTGGCAGACGTTCCAGGCCAAATGCTACCACTTCTCTATGAACAACGTTACATGGATGGAGGCAAAGTGGGCCTGCCAGAGCCTTGGTGCACACCTGGTGGTGATTGGTGATGATGAGGAAGGTGCAGCTGAACAGGTGAGCCATTCATGACTATCATGTAACAGCAAAGGTCTGAGCCATAACCTCCCGCCTCTCCTACCAGCATCCCTGTACTTCTGTTCTTACATCATTTCTGCCACAAAACAAAGGGCTGCCTTTCCTCTGGGCCAATTCCTCTGGTCACCAGCGGTTTGCTCTGTTCACCTGACAGCAGCGAACATCATTTTCCGTACTTACCATTATCCTTAAGTGCTGGTGTGAGTTCATAACCTCTTGTGTACAATGTGCTGCCCTTTCAGTTCCTTGCCTTCCCAAAATGTAATTCAAATTTTGGTTTCACATTTCTGTGTTTTGATGGCTGACCCAGCCAACACCTCCAAATTGCTTCCCCTGCAAAGAGGGTTATCCTGTCTCCCTCGTCCTCTGCTAGTTGGTTTACTGGAGGCATCTGGGTGGCCACAGTGGGATACTGAGCTAGGTGAACATGGTGGGATGCTGGATGAGGTTTGCACAGTCTCTGGAGCCCACCAAGACTTAGTAGCCATGGGAGGTTGCAGTGCCCAGGTGTCAGTCCAAGACCACCCTGCAAATTCCCATTTCCTGCAAACCCAGGAAAGCAGGTTGTTGGGATGGTTGACAAGCCATCTTGGACTTGGGCAGTGGAACAGATATTGATATGTGCTTTTCTGCTTTTATCTCCTCCAAGATGTTTCTGGACCAGAAAACAAAATTTAGTTACTGGATTGGCTTGAAGAATTATGAGAATAGAGGATTGGTGTGGGTGGATGGCACACCCCAATCTGACACGTAAGTTACTTTGAGAGATGATGGCTACTTCTCTAATGTTCCACCTGTTCTCAAGACGCATGGGGTGGGGGGAAGAACTCTGAGAAGACAGCCAGAGAAGACATGGATGTGCAATTGTGCATAGTATGTTTTCAAAGAGAACGTTAAGAAATGGACTGTACATGATGGAATCATGGGACAAAAGAAGCAGGCAGAACAAAAATCATTGTGGGTTAGCTACAGCAACTAGGTTAATGGCAATGCACATGGCCATTAGCAATTAATTCCCCACAGGTGTATGTTCCCAGGAGATCACTGGAATGCTGTAACATGAGAAAAATTGCAGTTCAATATATTTTAAAAATCTGCGAATGGGACCTGGAGAATGGGAGCTTTGACGCATGAAAGCATTCAGAAAATTGCTTCATCCTGTCAAAATTGCTCAGAATAATACATTTATGAGGCTGTCATCATATTAAAAATACTCCTGCAACCAGCCTGGTACCAAATGTTCCCTGGGAGATGATAAATCCAGTACTGCTTCCCTACAGAGCCCGGCTCTTTCGCCTCCTGGCATTTCTGTGGGAGTCGTGTTCTGAGTTTAGCCACCCTCTGCTGGTTATCTGCCTGCTTCCATGTTCCTTGTAATAATGGCCCAAGTTTTCCCAAGAAGCTGTTGAAGCAGAGTAGTTGTTTCACATTTTTGTTAATTTCAAAAATAAATCCCTGTCAGGTTTGTTTCTCGCCCACTGATCTTGTCTAGTTATTTTAGCCACACATCAATCGACCCATTGTTGAAATTTTTCGTTTGGATGTATATATCCACTAGAATTTTAGAAAGCATGTTAGCCCCTCACCAATACAGGGATGGGGGAACATTTATTTCCCATTTTATTTGTATTCTTTCTTAGTTGTTCATTAAGCCAAGGTTTCTACCCATGTGTTGTAATTATTCACTGCTAGTGCTGCAAAGATTCTGTAATTACCTAGCTGGACTAATTGATTAAGTACCTTTTGATAGATGGGTAGAAAGGGCTGCTAAGTAGTAGTGCCATGACTGTTCTAATGGAAGGACTTTTTAAAAAATCAGATTTGGCAGGTGACATTTTAGTATAAATATTTGTCCTTCTTGCTCATTGTGCAAAAGCCAGTGCACTTCCCAAGAGCGTGTGCCGCAATGACTTCATGTACGTGATCACAAGAAGCTGCCATTATTTAAGCCACAATCATTTGCCTTAATCCCTGGGACATGCTGGGGTAGGCCAGGTGCCATTTCCTGAATTATTGCCCCACCTGCAGCTTCTCATGTTCTCCAAACCTGGGCAGCATCGCTGGTTCAAAGGGAATGCTTTTGATTTATTTAAGCCACTGTGGCTTGTTTGATCATGTGACCTGGCCCCTATGTGTGTGTGCATGATCTGAGAAACAAAGAAAGGATTATTTTTCTGTTTGATTGGATTTTGCATCCTGCCTTTCTTCCAAAAATGTCACCTCAGGCAACTTACAGGTGTAATGAAAATGGATTATTAAAACAATAGAACTCCACGGGAAGGAGTTTCTTGGCCTGGGAGCAGAGACTTACACGTGCTTCTGAAGGCAGCGGTCTTGAAAGAAGCCCTCTCCAAAATCCAGGCAGGCTCTTATGGGAGAAGGCGGTCTCTCAGGTGACCTGGTCCCCAGCCCTGTGAGGCTTTGAAGGTCATAGTCTGCTTTGGATTCTGTCTGGTATCTGCTGCAGCAAGGAAGTCCTAGCAATCTGCTCCCATCAACAGTCGGTCACAGCATGCTGAAATTTCTGCACAGTTTGTCAGCAGTCCAAATTGGATGTCACTAAGGCCTGTGTGGCTGTAGCCCAGGCAGACCCCTCTAGGAATCGGCCTCGAGTCTCAGCTGGGCAAATGCGTTCTTGGACTCCAGCGAAACCTGCCTTGGCATGCAAGTTCGGGGTTGTATCCAGCAGTGTGCCCCACGCAGGAGAGCCTGAGTCTTTGGAGGAGTGCTGCCCTGCTTCCCCATTCCCTGGTCTGCCTTTTGACGGACCAAAGGCACCTCTGTCTTGCCTGGACTGAGCTTCAGCTTGGTTGCTGTCATCCAGAATGCCTGTTCCTTCAGAACTACTTTTATTTATGGGTAGATTTAATTGATTATATTTAGATTATTCCTTAAGAAAAAGATTGCACAGATGTTACACTGGGGGAGACTAAATGCAAAGAGGGGTAAAGGAATTGCATCTGCCAGCCCGAACCCTACCCATTCCACACCTGCTGAGTCTAATTTCTAAGAAGGCCTGCACATCATACGCACATGAGGCTCTGAATAGGAGGTCAAGGACCCAGATTCCCATCTGCACAGATCCACAGTATGCTCACAGAGGCTCTTAGAGAAGTTACACTGAGCACACACAATGCACACACAATGGGCAAGCAGCTTGTGCAGATTCGGCCTGTGCCAATGCAACATCCACAGAATCCAGTTCCTTTCATTGCATGACAGCTCTACTGAAAGAGGCCTCTGCCCCACCCTTGGCTTGCACTATGCCCTGAGGGCTCTGATCCGGACCTGTGTTTGCCTCAGCCTTTTCTTCCCTTGGGACAAAGGAAAAAAGAAGTCCGTCCTTTTGTCCATCCGGTCTTCCTTTCTTTTGTCCTTCTGTCACCCTTAGTCCTCTACAAATTGTATGCCGCTTTAGGGCATGCACAGCCCATGTAAACAAGCACCCTGCTTTCATCAACTTACAACTGCTCCCCCTAGCATGGAAGGGCCCCAGTCTTTCCCTCAAAGCAGAAGGATCAGCACTTCCTTAGAAGTGAATCCACATGCAGGAAAAGACCGTGGCCTGTTATGTGAAAGTGAGCATTGTGTGAAATGGGGTCAGGGAAGAAACATCACTGGAGGTGTGAGGGAGGTGAATGGTGCGGGGAGGGGATGTGGCTGGGTGGAAAGGTTCAGCCCCCTGTACTTCTGCACAATGGTCCCATTCTGGACTGGGCCCCTCGTGCCTATTCTAGCGTAGGAAAATGCTACGATTGCCTAGGATTTTTCTATACACGGCACTTACTGTGCAGTTGTGCTACTCACAGAATTGTGAGTGCTTTGCACAAAGTCACCAGGGCCTCTCCCATGCCCAGATCCTTTTTAGAATGAAGAAAAGAGGCTACTAAATTGCCAGTGCAGAACAACCTGGACTGAGAAACTCACTTATTTTTGCCATTCTGCTTTACTGAAGCTCCACTTTGTGGTTGTGTAATAGAGCATGTTTATGAAAGCAAAGAAGGGAAGAAAAAAACCCTGGACGTGGGGGGACCACATGTAAAGCACCTGATATTGGTGGGATATAAATACAGTGGAATAATAAGAATAATCCTACAAACATTCTGTGGGAAGCAGAAGCCTTGGTAAAGTGGCACCATCTTGAGTACAGCATCCCTTGGATAGCACATGTACAATGGAGCATCTATTTTAGCCATTAGAAAATGGAAGGGTGGTCCTGCTTCACGGAGATCTCTTCCTGAGGGAAGGCTGCGGCAAAGAGTAGTATAGTCCTTTTCCTTCTGAAAAAGGATCTGCGGGTAGGAAAGGAGGTTGTCATGGCAAGTGACCTTGCAAAGGAAGTGAGTGCATCCAGTGAGGTATCTTTTTCATAATAATAAAACAAAATGAGAAGTGGACTCATAATGAGCTGTACTGCCGGGATGAAATTTCAGGGAAGTTCTGGGGAAAATAGTGCCAGATTATTGTAATTTGTATAAAATAGTTCTGGGAACTTCAAGTGCTGTTTCCACTCAGGGTCTTCCAGCCTTGAGTAATTCTCACTGGCCAATGGAGTTGAGTAGCAGAGGATAATCATGGCTAATGCGTCTTGCACCGAGACAGTGGGCAGAGAGAAAGATTTCATGCTACCAGCTTGACTAAATTATCAGAACTGCTCCTGAGAAATGGCCCCTCGTGCAGGAAAGATTTGTGGCAGAGCTGCATCCGCGGTTTGTGCTGGGGCATGAAATGAACTGGCTGCAGAACCTGCTGCAGAGCCGCAGCAGGAGGACAGTGAGACCTCAGTGGGGTATCAGTAGGATCCACACGAGAGCGCTCTTCATGCCCAAGGAACTGCGGGGCTGGATTGTTCTGATGCTGCAATCGTTTCTCAGTGGTGGGCGTATGTCAACAAGGCCTGTGTGGTACACTTCATGTTTATCACGTCTTCCTGCACCTCACAACAATGTGTAATGTTGCAATCGCAGGAGAAATGGCTGAAAATATCCAGACCATGTAAGCATTCCATGATGACACAATGTTGTGTCACACGATGCTTAGTATTTATTTATTTATTTATTTATTTATTTAAAACATTTCTATGCCGCCCCCATCGCAACAAAGCCTCAGGGCGGCTCACAAAGAATACATAAAAACATACATAAATAAATAATTCTGACACAACTGTATGGATGCAGTTGTGTCAGAAATGGAAGGTGGTGATAAGCTGAGCTTGGCCACCTTGGGGTGTGTGTGCATGCACATGAGATATTTTTTCTACAGCCGGTGGAGCTGCCAAATGTTCGTATCTGGCAAGCTTTTTAGGGCTTGCTAGCTGTCCCCACGTGATCAGCATGGCAAGATGGCCATGGCAAGATTCTCTTGCCTCCAGTGTTGTTCCAGCTGTTGTGACCACAGCAGTGGAGGAGCAACCATGTGAGGTAGCATATTGGAGTAACCAAACCTGAACTGCCTCTCTGGCCGAGAGAGAGGGAGGGAGGGAGGGAGAGAGAGGGAGAGGGAGAGGGAGAGGGAGAGGGGGAGAGAGAGGGAGAGGGAGAGGGAGAGGGAGAGGGAGAGGGAGAGGGAGAGAGAGAGAGAGAGAGAGAGAGAGAGAGAGAGAGGAGCAGGACAGGCACACAAGTGGAGAGGTGCAAAGATTGCCATGGCTATTTCAGAAGCTGCTTCTCTGCCTCTGTTGCAGAGAGAAACAGAGTGGCAACAGAGAACAGAAGCATAATGGCTTCTCTTTATTTAACCATATAGAACATCATCTGATGACGCCCTTGTCTATTCCTGGAGATGTGGTCACGAACAGACAGGAACATCATGTTCCTCTGATGCTGCTGCTTTTTCTGAATCTGGATGAATGACTCACTCTGTTGCCATAACATCTAGAACAGTGAGGAGAAGCTGCAAATACGCCCTTGCCAAAAGACGCAAAGGGTGACAATTGTAGGGTTTGGGGTGCCGAGCCCAGTTGCCATAATGATCTATGGTGATAGTGAGAGAGGCAAGTTAAAATGGTTGTCCTTTGAAAGTGTAACTTGTACTGGAGGAATATACCCCCAAAAAGGGTCCCATGGAGGAAATAGCTGTGAAGCGGATAATATGTGGGCAGGATCACCTGTGAGCGTGTCCACCCGGAGAACAGCTGAGGGGTTTTCTATGTGGGCATTAAAACAAGATTGTGAAAGAAATGGTTGATGATTCACCCTCCTTCATGGCAGTGAACAAATAGATAACAACACCGTATTTCCTTTCTATAAAGCCACCTGCAGGAGCTGGAATTTGAGAACAGAAAGGAAGGCTGCTGACCCAGCTGTATGGGCCAGAACCACTCACAGCAGGATAAGTTAGAAAATGGCCAGGCTAGTACACACCAAAATATATGCTGCATGGCATGGAAACTGCAACATTGTTTTGAAAAGTGATAAACATAGTCTAAATAAATTGGGGACATTAGGGCAGAAATAGTGTGAGGAGAACAGGTTGGGGAGTGCTGTGTGAGGGAGCCAAGCATCACAATGACAGGTGGAAAAACTTGGTGTAAATCAGCCCCAGATGTTTTCCAGAAAATGTGCCTGCCAACCCAAATTGGAAGCTTCATGAAAACCCAGAACAAAGAGCTATGTGGGCAAATATATGGTTTAGAGGTGAGGCTCATGGCTAAATGATTGTTCAGTCTTTTGTTGTAGGAATTTTCTGTTGTTTTACTATATTGCATTTTGGATTGGAATGGAAGTAATGCATGTCATTCTTTCTTTACAGTTCTCAGCTCAAAATAATGAATAAGACAAGCTGTGTATATGTCTTACAAGAAGATGGCACAAATAAGAAAACACAGACTCCTTGCTCTAAATCTCATCGTTACATTTGTGAAAAACAACCAACATGAGAAATATGAAGGCTTTATATTAATTTATAAGTATTACATGCTCATTTGCAGAAAAACTGTATAGCCCATGACTTGCAATCTTCCCCCCTGACTTCTCTGGACAACATAATGTGATAGAGAATAAATACTATGCCAATGATGAATCATTCATATCCAATGAGTATGCCTTTTTATGATTATTTCTGGACAAGAGCCTTCCTTGGCATTATTTGTAAGTTCATGAATGTGTTTCAGTGGTTCCCAATTTTTTTAGCTGGCTTCTAGCTTGCTGAGCAGTGGGGTGGGTGCTCCAGAGGTCAATACTGGAGGCCAGTCAAGCATGAGCCGAGATTCAGAACTCTGTAGCATAGTCCTCATATGCAAAGCAGAGCTAGTTCAAACAAACTAGTTACTCTGGTAAGAATGTTTATTGATTTCTTCTTGCCTCCATTGTGCTTTTGATGATGTGGAATGGGGTTTCTTGAACCAAAAATGGCACTCAGGGAAATGTATGCGTTAAATAAGCAATAATGAATGGATGGATTGAATTCTGTTAGCACTGTAATCTGTTATTCCTTGAAGGCAGAGTCTTAGAATTGGTCACCACATGAAGGAAGGGCAGCATCATATAAAACATACAGGCAGCAATGCAGAAAGGCAAAATCTTTCCCACCTTTAGGTAAGTCAGCTATAGAAAAAGAAATTAAGCTGTGGGTTCCAGATGGACATCTGCCTACAAAAACCTAAAGTAGAAACCCCATGCTCATACAAAACTATAAAAGACCATGACCAAAAAGTATATCCTTAAAATTCTTAAATATAAATTTTTATAGAACTCCAAGAAGAAGTAGAGTCATCTATGGATCCACTTTTGCTCAACAGTTATGAACCCATTAAGCAAGAGAAGTTAGTAGCCAGCTTGACAGAAATTATTCACAATTCTGTTTTTTTATTTTTATTAAATGAACAAAAACAATACAATTAATATAATAACAGTGAACCTAATTAAACTTTACTAATAAACATAATTAAACAATGCATTAATACTAGTGCGACCTCCAACAGAACCAACAACTCAAGTCACTTAATGTTAAGATCATTTATTCATTCAGGTTGCCCCATTCCCCTTCCAGAACTTCATTGACTCTTCTGGTGGTTCACACGCCTTTCCTTTTATTAAAGCATATTCAATAAAAGGTCCCCCAATATTTTCAAATTTGTTTTTACTTATCAAACATTTTTCCATTTAATATTACAAGTTAACTTATAATTAATAGCTATATGCCAGACTTCTTTATACCAAGTCAGTTATTTGACATTCACCTTTTATTTTCCATTTCCTTGCTATTATTAATCCTACTGCTGTTAATAAATTTATCATCAATTCTTGAGTATTTTGTCCCATCTATTCTCTAAATAATGACCCACCGGGCCACATCCTCCTCCGGAATGGTTGTGGTGCAAAGGATCACAGTCAGACTTTACTGTCTCCTTTGAAGAGGGGGACTACCTCGAAACCCTCTAGTAAGGAGGTTTGCCCTTTGCACCGCTCTACACTTTGCCCAAAATTTCCAGTAAGCGAGTTCAGAGGCTAGAAACATATCTGTCAAGGCAGTCTGCTGCCTTTGTTTTCTCCTGATCACGGATTCTTCATCTCTTGTTGAAGTTTTCCTCTCACTGAAACTAGAAACAGAACCACAAGGCCCAGTATGGTGTTCCACAGTTTTCCCTGCCTTGCTTCCCTGTCCTTCCTCACTCTCTCCCATCCCTTCTCGAGAGGCAATATCTGTCACTTGACTCTCCTTCCCCATCCCCCCTTTTGAACCCTGCCTTCTCTTATGTTTTCCGGATTATGTAATCATGGCCTCTTCTTTTCGGCCACCCCATCTCTTCCTCTGAACTGCTTAGAGGTTCTATTCCTTGTTCCCTCCCCTGTTCCATCTCCTCCCCTGTATCTATATCTGAGAGTCCACATTCCTTTGTTTTCCCCTTCTTCTGAACCTCTCCTCCTTCCCCGTCCCCCATCATTTCCTCCGAGAGTGGCACCTCACCGATCAGAGGGGGTGGCACCAAAACACACCAGCACCCTTTCATCCAGCGCCTTCTCAGTCATCAGGGGAGCCTCGGTCGGCCGCGTCGTGCCCGCTACCGACTCCATCCCGCTCAGTGGGAAACGCTTTCTCCCTAGTCCAGGGCCAGCTCAATATTTAAATTCTATATTTTACTAATTTCTTTAAAAACATTTCCCAAAACTTATTTATTTATTTACACTTCCACCACCTATGGAAATATGTACCCACTTCCCAGTTGCATCTCCAACAAACATTGGAGTATACATTGCCTCAGACTGACGGCCACACAATGATGAAGCACATGCTTTGCATGCAGTAGCTCCCTATATTCGGTCCCAGACATCTCCAGTTGAAAGGATCGGGGAGCAGGTGAAGTGATAACAGAGATATGTTGGCTTGATTCTCTGGAGAGCTGCTGCCAGTACTTGGCCAGACGGACAAATACTGACCTGGTTCACATGACGCAGCAACCCAGCATGAGCAGCCAGCCACGGTGGATGGTCAAGCCACGCAAACCTAGACCGCTTTCCTCAGGATGGCTTGGCTTGTGGCTCCTTGGCAATAGCAGCAAAAGGTTTCTTGCTGCACCTGGCAAGCTTGTCCATGCCACAACCAGCACCAAGCACCCCACCAGACCCAAAGCAAGCCGAAGCAATTGTCGCTGTCTGCCTGCCCCCAACCCCAGCCTGGCTTTGTCTGTTTGTCCTCCTTCTCTCAGAGATCACTTTGCCTCAGACTGAAGGAGACTGTACGTTTCTGTCCAAGGAGTTATAACCACAGACTAGTGGAGTGCTACTGCCTGCGCTTTGTGTGTACTCTGACTGATGTGTACCCTGGCACATGAGGGAGGCATGGAGAAGATCTTGCCATTCTATGCTTTCTAAGACAGGAACATGCCTCACACAGCTCCAGCACTGCAGTAGAGGTGAATCCAGAGTTGTTACTTCCACGGAGTCCCATCCAATTTGGAGGGAGGGTGTCTATGCATGCAGACCGAGGCTTTGCAGCTTGCCTATTTATTTGCATCTTTGCATCAGCTCTATTAAGTGAGAAAGAGATTGACCGCTGGCCTTCTAAACCAGAAAATGCTGGGATTTATAGGCCTTTTCTCTGCCTAAATGTGCGTAAGATTGTACCTTAAGGGATCATACAGGACTGTACCTTGCTTTTCACTGACCTGCAAATTAGAAGGGAAATATACAGGAGATGGAAGGGGAAGAAAGATAATTAAGGACACCTATAAATAGCAAAAGCAGAGCATGAGAAAATAAGAACAGCAAGATAAAAAGCAATTCTGAAAGCAAATTTGTGCTGGAAAATGATTTTTTCCCCAAAGTAATGACTACGTCAATAATAGGAGTAAGATGCGAGAAAAATTGTCTTATTGCTCAACTGGCAGGTGAAATAGGAATGAGAAATATAGAAAAGGGGTGAATTGTTCAAATTTGGCTTTTAAAAAGGAAACTTGGAAGCAAGAAAAGTAGAGATAGAATAAGCAGCACAAAGAATTGTTGGTCATGGAAGGAACTTGCTCAAGAAATGTTGGGATTATTTACAGTATCTGTGAACTCATAAAAATACAACATATTCCCAAAAGGCTAAGGAAGGACATGATTACCTATAATAAGCCAAGAATGCCTTCTCTCAGGCTATCAAAATTGGTAACAGAGTTCACACCCTACAGCTGCAATTAAGTACTGGAAGACAAAATAAAAATAGTTACAAAGACAAGAGGGTGTCAGTCTGTTTGTGAGAGATCAAAGACAGAATACAGTGTCAAAAGTGAAAAAGCTAAAATTTGTGAAGAACATGAAGGATCAGAGGTGGCCTTCGGCCCCAGAAAAGTACCTCCCCCTATAGACTTTGATCATGGCATTGGTGCTGAAGATTGGGTCCAGTGGAGGGAGTTCATGGAATGCATATCTGCAAGCCTAGACGGAAAGATGGCTGATCAGCATTGGGTAGAAAGGCAGAGGAAGCTGCAAGGTCCACGCTGTCCATGGTAGTTGTCTGAAGAATATTTTAAAAAATGCTTATTGCATAGTTTGCCTTGTTTGAAACATGCTGCACACCCATAAGAACATCGCAGCGCAGTACAAGTTGCTTTGTGAAGGGAAGCAAGGGGCAACCGAAGCAATAGACGAGTGGGTCACGCAGTTGCGCCTCATAGCCAATGACTGTGATTTTCAAAACATTATTAAGAGTATTGAGTATGAACAGGATCCAGCTCAGAAGAGGTCCAAGAAAAATCACAGGCGTTGCAAGAGCTGACTCTGAACAGGGCATTCCAAGTACCAAGAGCATATTGGATATCCCAAGCATGAATGAGGTATTAATAAAGCTCAAGTGGTATATGAGGTGAATAGGCACAGAACACATCCTGGGCAAACAGAATTCTAGTTCTCCCCAGCAAACTCCACCCGATAAGGGAGAGAGGTAAAGGTATGCAAAGAGACACAGCAAAGTGGAGGAACACTCGCCATGGGCAAGATTTGCCAGCAAAAATGAGAAAGCATTTTGTATGAGTCTGAACAGTGTAAAATTAAAGTCTAAGAAAAGTGAACATGCTAGGTGGGTTATTTATCTCACGAAGAGCCTGTGGCACATGCTGCTGCTATTTTCAACATAAAACAGCTGCTTGGGGTGGGGGGTGCCATGTCATGAAACCTGGCTAGCCATGAGTTATATGAAGAACACACAATACCCTTTCAGACATAAAAACTGAGGCCAAATGCATACTAGCATAAATGTACCAACAGAGGAAGTAATTCTGATACAGTTCCCTATGGGATGTAACTCCATGGGACTCATTTTCTCCCTTTCCCATAATATTCAAACCCAAGGTGGGTTGACTGGTGGGAGATTCAGGACAGATGAAGGGTTAGGGTCTTCTTCACACATAGCTAAACTATGGAATTTACTGCTACAAAGAGTGATAGCAACCCATTTGGATGGCTTCAAAATGGGACTGGAGAAGTTTATGGAGGAAAAGGCTATCAGCGCCTACTCCTCTTGATGCTGCATGCTCCCTCCAGAATTGGAGGCAGCGTGCCTGCGTGCACCAGTTCCTGGAGCACTTGAGCAAGAGGGGACTGTTGCACTCATA